GGGTTTGAACCGCCAGCCTTCTGGTGAGCAGTCAAGTGCCTTAGGCACTATGCTACCAGAGCTCCTAGTGCTGCTATAACAGAAATACCACAAGTGGATGACTAACAAACAAGGATTTATTTTCTTAAATTTAGGAGGCTAGAAGTCCCAGTCCAAAGTGCCGGCTCTAGGGGCTGGTTGAAGGCCCCTCGACCTTAGGCTTCAGCTCTGCCTCTTGCTCCTGCTCCACTGGAGCTGTAGGCATCTCTTAACTTAGGCAGCTGCTGACTGCTGAGGCTGACAAATCCAAAGTAGACAAGTAAAATGGCACAGTCCCAAGATTTCCAAGCAGCATAGCAGATGATAAGTTCAAGTCCAGAAACAGTCCCAAGATTGGCAGGCAACATGGCAGGGCACTGAGATGAAAACTCAGCCAAATACAGGATCCAGATGTGCCAAAAGCTCCAGACCATTCCCAAAGCTTCTCTTTATATATTGGAAACAGGTCATATCCCTAAGGCAGCTATCAGCTGCTCACAGCAGATTCTAGCATGAAGTTGATTCCCTGTCTCATCACAGGAAGTAACTATATCCAGTGGCCCAGCCACTCAAAACCAGGCCCAGCAAAGTGGACACACAACCTTAACTACCACACTTTCTTAGCTCAACAACCTACAAAAAGCAGCAAGCTGCTCCCAGAGGACAGACAGAGTCTGAGGATGCACTTGGTACACTAAAGAATAAAGCGCTCTTTTTCCCTCACCTCGGTGTGGTTTCTATTGGCAAGGGTAGTACCAGGCACAGATCTGCTTTTAGGTAACATCTTGCTACATGTATACACCTGTGAGACCACTACCAAGTATGAGACAAATCAGGACACATTTAAGTCAACCCCAAACATTTCCTAATATGCTTAATTTTACGTTATCGTATTTCTCTGCCTAAAATTATGTACTCTTATTATTGTAATACACTTTTTCAAAGTGAGAGAAATTTCTGGGAGAAGTCACCTGACTTGCTCCTGGTAGCAAGGCTAGCAATCAAGAGGGAAGACTTGAAAACGAATGTCCTTGATTCATACTCTGTTTTTCTTTGCTCAATACTCCTAATTTACTGGCCTCAAAGCAGCCTCTAAAGAAAGGAGACTAAAATTAAAATCCAGTCACAATATGAAGGTGCCAAAACCAATTGCTGAAAAATACCGACTTTAACCCTCCCTTACTTATTTGCATTGGAGAGACAAAAGGGCACTTTTCTGAGGAAGGGACTAGAGAATATCAACTTTTACAGGGACTTGAATTCTGCCAAATATGGTTACTAACCAGTACCACAGAATACACCCAACCAGCAAATGATCCTGAGGAGATGCATATGCACCACCGACTGCTTCTGGAGGATCAAGAGTGAGATTATTTAGAATGAGGGAGGTGAGATAGGTGTGTGCCCACTCATGCTTGGAATCGAAGTTCCCCCACAGCATAACATGCAAATGTAGCTGGAGCACCAGGCAGTGTCACCCTAGCAGTTCCTGGGCAGTTTCTGCTCAGGTCTCCCAAAGCTTGCAATAATGTGCAGACAAGTGTTCATGACAAATCTGTCTTCAAGATGAATTCTG